CCCTAATTGTTTACTTAAAATTAAGGTGGTTGTGTGCGACTAGATGAAGCGTTAAACGAAAGCAATTGTGACAAACCAGCTGCTGCATGCAAATCCCTTCCACATAGACGCTACCACATGAACCCAAAATCTTGTAACAGCCTGATCTGGAATAGGTCAGAATATTTCTGGAAGGCGTTACTGAGGAAAATGTTCATTTCCCTTTATAAATAATCCTTAAGTCCCACATTCTCATCAATTTGCCTATCCTCTTAACGCCTTTGTTTCGAGAATATTCTGACCCTGCAGACCGGGCTGCTAATAGATTTTGTTTTCGTGCGGTAGAGCAATATGGTAGAGCCTTACAGGCTAGCTGAGCACAAAATAGCCTCAAGCGTTTTGAGGTCCAAATAATGAAATTAGCCGAATATATGGCTCGCACAGGACAACAAATAGAATGGTCTAGTGCTAAACGATTAGTTGGATGTGGAGATTATTGTTGAGCTTACTTCCATTTCCAGTAGAAGTGTTGGGTGAAGAGATTCGAAGGTCGGTTTTACCAAAAGACGACGGCGGATTCCTCTTGACCAGCTGTCGATTGGCTTTACTGGAAGACACATGCTGACGCTGTTTCTGAGGCAATCCTCTTCGATTCCGGTAAAAACGTGGTGAGCTTTCGTCCGTCATATGACGGACATCATCAGAGCGAGGTAACATCGTCACAACAAAATTCAAGCTTATAGTCAAGAAAACTCACCGGCAAATTCCTAAATAGTGGTATATATACTCTAAAACTGGCCTATTTGATCGTTGACGGACGAAAGCTCAGCACGTGTTCACCGGAATCGAAGGAGATTACCTCGGAAACAGCGTCAGCATGAACTCACCGGCAAATCCCTAAAAAGTGGTATATATACTCTAAATCTGGCCTATTTGATCGAGTATAAGGTAATTTGGTTAGTTAAGGTCATGTCAACTTCGATACATGTGAGTGTGTCTGTCTCTGTATTTGTCTGTGCATGTTTGTGTTCGCTTATGCATGAAACCCGAAGTGATGGCTCAAAGTAATTAGGACAACAAAAGGGAACGTTTTTTTAAAAATCAAGGTTTGATGATCACCATCTCCCCCTTTCTACATTTAAGTTATAACCATCAATCCAGTTGCGCAAGGTCGGACACGTCTGGTTTTGTTCATGAGCCTATTTTTGGTTTGGGGTCTCAATGCAAAAGAGAAACAGTGAGCTAAAAAGACAGAGAATTGACTATCATTAAAATCAAAATAAGAAAAGACTAGTTGCGTCGCCTCCTTTTTGCAGGCGGCTCAACTCCATCTCTATCCTTTAATCTATCAATTAAACACAAATAGTTTTTACTTATCTTTTTGCCGGTATTCCTTACATTCAAGGTATTTTCTATTCGGTTTATTTCTATGGCTTCTCTAATTTTACGTTTAG